TAACTGTTGTTGGAAGAAAACTCGGCCAAAGGCAAGAATCGATCCCACTAACCTACGAAGTCAATCACACATGCTCTGAGCGTATCCTTCAAGATCTGAACCGTCCGCTTCGACTGCCCGTCGGTCTGCAGATGAAAGGTTGTGCTAAGCTCTACCCTGGTCCCCAACTCACTCTGTACTGCCCTCCAGAAATATGAAGTAAACTGAGGGCCTCTATATGATATAATGGAAAGAGGCACACCATACAACCGAACAATCTCCTGAATGAAATATGGGCCAAACTCTCTGAAGAAAACGTGATCACCACCGGAATGAAGTGTGCCGACTTGGTCAACTAATCGACAATGACCCAAACTGTATCAAACTTCCGCATGGTCCACGACAACCCAACTACGAAATCTATAGTAATACGCTCCCATTTCCACTCAGGTATAACCATCTGCTGGAGTAGCCACCTGGCATCTGATGCTCGTATCTAACCAGCTGGAAATTAAGGCACCTCACTACATACTCAACTACGTCCTTCTTTATCCGCCACCACCAATAATGCTGCCTCAAGTCGCGATACATTTTCATAGCACCTGTATGAATATAATACCGAGAGTTGTGTGCCTCCACTAGGATCTTTTCCCTCAATCCATCAACATTAAGGACACATAGACAACCCTGGAGTCGCGAAACACCATCCTCATCGATAGTAACCTACTTGAAACCACCCTGTAGTACTGTATCTCTGAGAACCAATAAGTGTGGGTTGTCGTACTGGCGAGCCTTGATCTGCTCGAATATTGAAGATTAGGTGACAACGCATGCAAGAACTAGGCTGGGCTATGAAATATCCAGCCTCACAAGTCTGTTAGCCAAGGACTGAATGCCCAAAGCTAATGGCCTATCCTCTACTGAAATAAATACCAAACTACCCATACTCTCCGCCTTTCTGCTCAAGGCATCCGTAACCACATTCGCCTTGCTCGGATGATAAAGGATGGTGATATCATAATCTTTTAGTAACTCAAACCACCTGCGCTGTCTCAAATTGATATCCCTCTGCTTGAACAAATGCTGCAAGCTACGATGATCGATGTAAACCTCACAAGACACCTCATAAAGATAATGCCACCAGATCTTAAGAGCATGAACTATCACGGTCAACTCCAAATCGTGCAGGGGGTAATTCTTCTCGTGGGGCTTCAGTTGACGTGAAACATATGCAATAAATCGCCCCTCCTGCACCAATACACAACCCAGGACAATGCGTGAAGTGTCGCAATACACAGTATACATTCTTAACTGGAAGGCAACAATAATACTGGTGTTGAAGTCAAGGCGGTCTTGCGCTTCTGAAAACTCGCCTCACAATCGTCGAACCATTGAAATGGAGCACCCTTCTAGGTCAATCTATTCAAAGGTGCTGCAATAGATGAGAAGCCCTCCACAAACCTACGATAATAATCTGCTAACCCAAGAAGCTCCTGATCTCGGCCGCTGTGGTAGGACGAGGCCAACTCAGAACTGCCTTGATCTTCTTGGGATCTACCTTAATACCCTTGCTTGATACAACATGCCCTAAGAATACCACAGAATCTAACCAAAACTCACACTTGGAGAACTTAGCATATAACTTCTGTTCCCGCAAGGTCTGAAGCACCACTCCCAAATGTTGCTCGTGCCCCTCCATGCTACGCGAGTAGATCAAAATGTCATCAATGAAGAAAATGACAAATGAGTCAATATACGACATGAGTACCCAGTTTATCAAATCCATAAACATCGCCGGGGCATTAGTCAAACTGAAGGACATCACTAGAAACTCATAGTGGCCATATCTAGTTCGAAAAGCCATCTTCGGAACATCTGAATCACAAATATTCAACTGAAGGCACTCCGTTCTGAAGTCAATCTTACAGAACACCCTGGCACCTTGCAACTGGTTAAACAAATTATCAATACATGGCAACGAGTACTTATTCTTAATGGTAACTTTGTTCAACTAGCGGTAATCAATGCACATCCGCACAGTCCCATTCTTCTTCTCCACGAATAATACCGGTGCACCCCAAGGCGATACACTAGGTCTGACGAACACATTTGCTAGCAACTCCTCAATGTTACTGCAACTGGCTGATCGCACGGTCAAAAGGCCGGCAAGAATTTTAGATGATGTGCTCGTTCAAGTGGGGAAGTTTGTATTTCCCGCTGACTTTGTTATTCTTGACTGTCAAGTTGACGAAGAAATACCAATAATTTTGGGGAGGCCGTTCTTATCCACTGGGAGAGCATTGATCGATTTTGAGACTGGAGAGTTAAAAATGAGGTTGAATAATGAAGAAATAATATTCAATGTTCAACAATCTATGAGGAGGCCTGCGAATTGTTCGCTAGTGGAGGCAGTGGATGTAATACTACAAGAGGAGGATGAGACCCTTAATGTCAGAGATCCGTTAGAAACTTGCTTGATGAATTTGGAAGATGTGGATGGTGAAGAGTTGGCAGAGGGGGTCATGGCTCTCGAAGGTCAAGGGTTCTGGAAAAGGGAACCCCAGTTCGAGCCAATACACTTAGAAAAAAGAGCAACACCACCTGCAAAGTCATCAATAGAGGAGCCACCATAGTTGGACCTGAAACTGCTTCCAGCTCACCTCAGGTATGCTTTCTTAGGTCCTAACTCTACTTTACCTGTTATTATCTCATTCGGTTTGTTAGCTGTGCAGGTAGAACAACTCCTACAGGTGTTACAAGAATGTAAGATTGTTATTGGTTGGACCATGGCAGATATAAAGGGTATCAACCCAGCCTTTTGTATGCACAAAATTCTCTTGGAAGAGGGGCACAAATCTTCCAGAGAACATTAAAGAAGGTTGAACCCGAACATGAAAGAAGTGGTGAAGAAAGAAGTGATCAAGTGGTTAGATGCAGGTATCATCTTACCCATCTCTGACAGTAATTGGGTCAGCCCAGTTTAGTGTGTGCCAAAGAAGGGTGGAATGACGGTCATGCAAAATGAGAATAACGAGTTGATCTCGACTCGTACAGTCACGGGTTGGCGAATTTGCATGGATTATAGAAAACTGAGCACGGCCACCCGGAAAGACCATTTCCCCTTGCCATTCATTGACCAAATGTTGGATAGGTTTGCTGGACGATCTCACTTATGCTTTTTGGATGGATATTCGGGGTACAATCAGATCTTAATAGCCCCTGAAGATAGAGAGAAAACATCCTTTACTTGTCCGTATGACATCTTTGCCTTTCGGAGAATGCCGTTTGGCCTGTGCAATGCACCGGCTACATTTCAGAGGTGTATGTTAGCCATTTTCACTGATATGGTGGAGGATATAATGGAAGTCTTTATGGATGATTTCTTAGTGTTGGGGGATTCATTCGAAGACTATATTTGCAATTAAAGATGAGTGTTAAAGAGGTGTGTGGAGACAAATTTAGTGTTGAACTGGGAGAAGTGCCATTTTATAGTGCAAGAAGGTATAGTGTTGGGGCATCGAGTATCTAGTAAAGGTATTGAGGTCGACCATGCTAAGGTTGACGTGATTGAGAAGTTTCCACCACCCACTTCGGTCAAGGAAGTGAGAAGTTTCCTTGGGCACGCCGGGTTCTACAGGCAATTTATAAAAGACTTCTCTAAAATTGCTAACCCCTTATGTAAACTCCTTGAAAAGGATCATCCCTTTGTGTTCTCATATGATTGCAGGTTGGCATTTGAGGAGCTGAAGAAGAGACTGGTGACTGCACCAATCATCGTTGCACCCAACTGGGAGCAGCCGTTCGAGCTCATGTGTGACACAAGTGACTATGCTATAGGAGCAGTCCTGGGGCAGCGAAAGGACAAGTTGGTGCACCCAATTTACTATGCAAGCAGAACGCTAAGCGGTGCACAACTCAATTATACCGTGACCGAGAAAGAGATATTGGCTATGGTATTTGTATTCGACAAATTCAGGTCTTAATTGATTGGTTCAAAAGTGATTGTTTATACTGACCATGCAGCACTTAGGTACTTGATAGCAAAGAAGGAGTCAAAGCCACGCTTGATCCGTTGGGTTCTGTTGCTACAAGAATTCAATTTAGAGATCTGCGATAGGAAATGGACAAATAACCAAGTGGCAAACCACTTTTCAAGGTTGGAAGGAGCTGAAAAGAAAGTAGAGGTTGAAGATATAACTGGACATTCCCGGATGAACAATTACTAGCAGTGGCAATGGAGGAGACGCTATGGTATGATGATATTGCTAATTATTTGGCAAGCGGTATTGTACCTTATGAACTCTCTTCGATTCAAAATAAAAAGTTCTTTCGCGAACGGTCTTATTACTGGGATGAACCTTTACTTTTTAAAAGATCAATCTTCTGTTTTGCAGCCTTGCCATGCTTCACCATATGGTGGGCACTTTGGAGGAATTCAGACAGCGGCGAAGGTGTTGGAGTCGGGTTTGTATTGGCCGACTTTATTCAAGGATGCCCATGCTTAGGTAAAAAGTTGTGATGAGTGCCAAAGGACAGGCAACATATCTCGTCGTCACAAGATGTCGATGACTACAATTCAAGAGGTGGAAGTATTTGACATGTGGAGGATTGATTTTATGGGACCATTTATCAGCTCGTATGGTAACAAGTACAAATTGGTATCAGTTGACTATGTCTCCAAATGGGTTGAAGTTATGGCCCTTCCAACAAATGATGCCAAAGGAGTGACAGGCTTTCTAAAGAAAAATATTTTCACACGTTTTGGCACTCTGAGAGCTATAATCAGAGATGGCGGAATCCATTTTTGCAATAGAGCATTCACAAGGCTGTTAGAAAAGTATGAAGTTCGCCATAAGGTTGCCACACCTTACCACCCACAAACGAGCGGGCAAGTTGAAGTGTCCAACATGGAAATCAAAAGTGTTCTGACCAAAACAGTGAATGCGACAAGAACTAATTGGGCAAAGAAGTTGGATGATGCATTATAGGCGTACCTCACAGCATTTAAATCTCTAATTGTTATGTCTCCATACAAGTTGGTGTTTGGAAAAGCATTCCATCTTCAGGTGGAGCTTGAGCATAAATCCTTATGGGCACTGCGGCAGTTGAACTTGGATATGGAAACCGTAGGCACAAGTAGAGTCACAGAGCTACAAGAAATCGAGGAATTCCGATTCTATGCATTCGAGAATGCAAGATTGTACAAAGAGAGTATGAAGATGATGCATGATAAGCACATTCAATATCTGAACTTCAAACCCGGAGATCTAGTGTTGTTATACAACTCGAGATTAAGATTGTTTCTGGGTAAGCTAAAATCTAGATGGTCAGGACCATTTAGAGTTGTGCAAGTATTCTCAAGTGGAGTAGCAGAAATTGAGTCCAAAGAAGGAACAAATAGGTTTAAAGTGAATGGGAAAAGGTTGAAACACTACCTTGGAATGGTTGAAGAAAAAGGGAAAAAAGTTGTGATGTCTTTGGAAGAGCCCCAATATGTGAGCGAAGTGCAATCATGAAAGCCTGCATCGTGCCGCGACTTTAAATCAGGTGCTTCCTGGGAGGCAACCCTTGATTTTATTGTAATTCGTCATGCTGCGACGTTAAATCAGGCGCTTCTTGGGAGGCAACCCAATATTTTTTTCTTTGTTCTTATTTTTCGTATTTGATTTTGAATGGTGAAAGTATTGACAGGTCTATTAATGTGCAGGGATGAAATTTTGCACGACGGAAGGACTCGGGGTGAAGAAATCCATCCGGAGATAGGTAAAAAGTGGCTAAAAGGGAGAAATTTCGAAGGACAAACGTGCGCGGCCACGCACTTTTAGACCCCTAATGTTGCACATGCGCGGCCGCGCACTCACCGCGCATGGACCGCGCACTGGGCGCCGTTTTTAGGTTATTTCATTAGTTTATTTTATTTATTTATTTATTCCTCCCTTACTAATAACCGACCCCCCCCCCCCC